AATCTAGTGTATGCTTTACAACTTAAAATGGCTCTGTAACTATTGGTCAATTTAAAGCAAGCTGTGGATCCTGCTGAATCTTCGTATAGGGACAGGAGAAACAGCTGAATGGCAGATGCAGATGATGAAGTGCTTTAATCAGTACATACACACCATGCTATTCAATGTATCAGGCACATTCTAGTGAGTTTCCAGCCTTTAGTTCACAGATACTGTAATAGATAATTAATGCATGTTCTGTTATCCTCAATGACAAACATAAGTTGAGATGTGTGGGGACTGCTGCAGAGCATCCACTCACTGAAAACAAGGGCTTAGTTCCATTAAGTGGTGCACCCTGGAACCTCAGCATGCTTCATTTTGGGGTGTTAACGAAAAGGTTAGTTGTGGTGCCAGCAGCATGACAGTATGCCCACAATTTATGCCCACATTACAGCACAGCCTTGGTGAAGGCTGACTTGGAACCCTTGCATATACAAACTGTCTAATTTGGCGGCCCTGATTTTGCACCACTCTGGAGACAAAGGAAGACATTAAGCTTCAGGAGAGAAAGTGCAGGAAGTGAGACACTGCTGCCCAGAGCAAGCTCTTTTGGGTGTTTGTGAGGAGCCTGGACTTCAATTTCCCTGCATATGGATTCCCCCCCATTTGGTGATCAATGCCTCCATAGCTGCAGGGCCATCCAAAGGGCCGAAAGGACAACAGAGCTTAGAACACAGAGCCACAAGCAGGGGAAAGACTTTCTCAGCTTTTTCAGTTGGCACATTGAGCTACGAAACAGAGAGCTAACTTGAAATCCCCCTGAACAGAAACTGCTTGAGTGCAGCACCTTGTCTCATACCATTCCATAAAGGAAGGAGGACAACAGCGTTTGAGACAAGGAACTATATTAAGGTGAGATTCCTGGAGGGTTGTTGTCCAGGAGAGAGAGAACCGGAAGGACCTTAAGAAAGGCAAATTTTCCCAGAAAAGATTTTCTGTAGAGTGAGTGGCTCACCCCAGAGATTGAACATTTTAACTT